TTTAAAAAACTAAGGTGTTTAAGGCAATGGCAACAAGATCTTTAAGGGGGATGTTTTATGGCAATGGAACCTTGAGTTTATCTGTAAGAACACACCTCAGAGGATCTATGATAGCATATTCACTGCATTCTTGACCTTATATCTGAAGAAACTTTTTAAAAAAAATATGTCTTTATTGATTTCAGAAAGAGGAAGGGAGAGGGAGAGAAACATCAATGATGAGAGTCATTGATCGGCTGCCTCCTGCACGCCCCCTCCTGGGGATCGAGCCCGCAACCCGGGCATGTGCCCTGCCTGGAAAGGAACTGGATACCCTGGATCATAGGGTGATGCTCAACCACTGAGCCATGCTGGCCCGGCTGAAGAAACTTTTTTTTTAAACGGTTTTTACAGAACCATAACTCACTCATCTTTCCCAGAACCTGTCCTGCGTGGGCTCGCCTTTGCTGTGTTAAAAGCTATGGGAGGTCACTGTCTCTACCTCAGTCCTATCCTTGTCTTTAAAATGCCCCCTCCCCAGACCCCAAAAAGTTGCTTTTTTGCTTTTCTTTTTTTTGAAGGCTCTTTCCTCTCTTTTCCACAACACTTGACTCTAAAGAGTCTTTAAATTAAACAAAACAACACTTAAGAATCACGAACTGAAGGAAGCCACAGGTGCCTCCAATTCACACTTTGGATTCACACTAGGCCAGGTTCGGGGTCCGGTTAGCAACCTCAGGCAAATAATTTCACCTCTCCAAGCTTCTATTTTTCAACTGAAAGACGAAGGTGATCAGGCCCATCTCTCCGCGTCGCTAGGAGTTTTACGAGTAAAGAAGGCAGAGGACTTTGCAACTGGGCGGGACGCGGACCCCGACGGGGGGACAGGGTGGCAGGTCCCTGGCTCACCTGGGCGGCGCACTGGTCCAGGTAGAGCTCCAGGTACATCTCCTCCTCCTCCATGCGCGGGGATCCCGCTCTCGGGTGGGGCCGGGAGCGGATGCGGGGAAGGCCCCGGGAGGGTCGAGCTACGGCGGAGCTCGACCAGGCGCGCGGGGCGCGCAAACCATTTATTAGCCCCGCAACCGCACGCGGCGGGGCGGGGCCGGGGGTCTGGTGGCCCCGTGTGGGTGGGGCCGGACTCAGCCCCCGCCCAGTCCACGCTCCCGCAGAAGGTGCCGGTGAATGCGTGATGAGCCAGGGAGGGGATGCAGGACANGCCACTAGCGAGAGGACAGGGGCTGGGGCCTGGAGAGGCTGCCTGCTGGGCGCCGCCGCCGCGCTCCGTGCGCAGCTGAGACGCGGCTGGGCTCGGCCTGCAGACCTGGGGACACTTCCTTCAGGACTTGCAAACGCCTTTGCCTCCTGAAGGAGGTCTCCGTGTCGGCAGCGTTAAAAGTGAGTGGGTTGGACAGTGAGAAAAATAAAGGATTTCTCTTTTTCTTTTTTTTTAAGGGATTTTTTTTTTTTTTAATCTCTTGAGCAGAATGAGTGGAATTTGAGGCACCTTACCTAGCCAGAAGTACTACTTTTATGTTATGATCGTTTCTCACCTTCAAATCCTAGGCTGGTTTTCCTCCCATCACAGAGACTTTAGGCGAAAGCCACATAGGGAAGAATGTCGCTCGCTGCACAGTTAGGGTTGAGGCACCTCAGGAGGACCAGATATGCACAGGAGTTTCCTTTTTCTTAAAATCCCTATTTTAATTTTCAGTGCCTCAGCTTTCATAAGAGCTTAAAAGTGCAGAATGGCTCCATAAATATAACTGATATTTTAATGTAAGATAATTCAAAATGTACATGGAGACACGTGTAAAACTATGCCTTTCCTCTCTGAGAGCAGGAATATTGATTATTCATCTTTGTGTCTCAGTACCAAGCTCATGGATGATCAATAAAACTTAACTGGTGAATGAAAATGCACTGGGAATGGAGCATGATAGTAGTAGAGACACATCGCTCTAAGGGTCAGATAACGGAAAAAATCCTACAGAATTTCTAATCAAGAATAGTAAACATTTTTATAAACATAATGGTTATAATGATATATAATTTAATGATTTATGTTAAATGAGATGGCCTGCAAAAAATGTTTAGCACAGTACCTGCCTAGCAGCTCAAATATTAGCCCTTAGTTTTGTTGTTAGGCTGTTAATGGACTGAACTGTGCCCTCCTCCCTGCAAGTTTATACGTTGCATATGTTGAAACCCTAATCCAATATGACTGGTGTCCTAATAATAAGAGAGACAGAGAGAAAGATGGGAGAAAGAAGAGATACTCAGAGAAAAAGGCCATGTGAGGACATAGTGAGAAGGTGGCCATCTGCAAGATGAGGAGGATGTCTGGGAAAACCAAACCTGCTGATGCCTTTCTCTTGGACTTCTAGCCTCCAGAACCATGGGAAAATACATTTCTGTTGTTTAAGTCACTCAGTCTGTGGTATTTTGCTATTCCCAGCAAGCTAATACATAGACTAATAAAGTGTCTCATTTGTAGTAGGTGGAATTCTGAGATGGCCCCCAAATTCCTGCCCCCTGATGCATACACACCTTCTTCCAGTTATTCAAACACTAATCTACGATGTGCTGCTGTGAAGGATTTTGCAGAAATTAAGGTCCCAAATTAGTTAACATTAAGAGAGAGAATAGCCCTGGTCTGGTAGCTTAGTTGGTTAGAGCATCGTCCTGATATGCCAAGGTTGTGGGTTCGATTTACAGTCAGGACACATATGAGAATCAACCAATAAGCCCAGCAGGCGTGGCTCAGTGGTTGAGCGTCCCACCCATCCATTTAGGGCATATGCCCAGGTTTCGGGTTCAATCCCCAGTAGGGGGAGTGCAGGAGGCAGCTGATCCATGTTGATGTTTCTCTCTCATGAATGTTTCTATTTCTCTTTCTCCCTCTCCCTCCCTCTCGCTCTAAAAAGAAACCAATAAAAACATATTTAAAAAAAGAATCAACCAATAAATGCATAAATAAGTGGAACAACAAATCAATGTTTCTTCCTCTCACTCTCCTCCCTCTCTCTCTCTCAAATCAATAAATTAAAAAAAAAAGATTAAGCCCGGCTGGGCGTGGCTCAGCAGTTGAGCGTAGGCCTAGGATCCAAGAGCTCACGGTTCAATTCCCGGTCAGGGCACATGCCTGGGTTGTGGGCTTGATCCCCAGTCGGGGCCGTGCAGGAGGCAGCCAATCAATGACTCTTTTATCATTGATGTTTCTATCTCTAGCTCTCTCTCCCTCTTCCTTCCTCTCTCTGAAATCAATAAAGATATATTAAAAAAAATTTAAATGAGTTGAATGGGAGTATGTATAAACTTTTACCAGGCACTTTACACATATAAAGTATTGTTTTTAATATCTTTAAAGAGTAATGTCAGGATGTGGTTGGACCGTTAATGGTCGTGAAGTCTTTATGAGAGGTCAACTCTATGGAAAACAGGCTTTTACTCTATTTTAAGAAGCCCTGTCTCTCATCATAGAAAATATTAAAATGAGCCCACATTAAATATTATTTATATATAACTATTTAAGAGTTGAATTGCACCCTAGCTGTTTTGGCACAGTGGTTAGAGCCTTGGCCCAAGAACTGAAGGGTCCCTGGTTCGATTCCGGCCAAGGGCATGTACCTTGGTCGCAGGCTCAATCCCGGGCCCTGGTTGGGGTGCATGCAGGAGGCAACTAATTGATGTGTCTCTCTCACATCAATGTCTCTCCTTCTCTCCCCCTTCCACTCTCTCTGAAAACCAATGGAAAAAATATCCTCCGGTGAGTATTAAAAAAAAAAAAAGGTGAATTGTTGACACATCACGTTTTGCAGATATTTAATCAAATTTACTAATTTCAGTTTTGGAATAAAGAAATTTTGGAGCCAGTCATTTTTCTCAGCTTTAAATTTTATTGGCCCTTAAAAAGCTCATAGGCCTAGGCACTGGGACTTAGCTTCTAAAATGCAGTCGCACCAATGTTGGTCCCAGAGATTCTCTGGCAAGAAAAACTGAAATGGAATGTCAGTGTTGAAGGAATGTTGGGAAACATTGTTTCACTAGGGGGCGCTATTTCCCCTCCGTAAAGGAAATAATCTTCTGCTTTGGGGAGCAAGCAGCTTTTGGAGCCAGAGAACAAAGGGGTCCATGCATCCTTTAGATGTTAAAATAAAAAGCAGCTATTTCTCTGTGGCAGGAGATCCGGGGGTACTTCCAAAAGTAAATAGGATTAGTCACTGTGCCAATCCATGCAAATATATTTGTACATATTTATAGAAAGATTCAAATTATAGTGGGTAAACCAACCAAAAGTATTTGTAGAGTAACCACATTATTACTACCTTGATTGGCGTCATATGTGAAGGGCAATTTTGCTGCCTAGGGAAAAGCTGAAAAGCAAGAATTTGCGTAAATGTAATTAGGTTTCTTGAGGCCGTGTGAGGACAGAACATTTTTTAACCTGGTGGCAATTTTGCTAGATGCAGCCTTCTCTTTCTCTTAGGAGCCATGGCCATTCATTGTGATGAATCTCTACATTGAGCTGTCAGTTTCCTGACAGGGATTTCAAACACAAGACTATGGAGGTGGATTTGAGCATTGCTCGAAGGTCTTGTCTAGATCAAAATTTGATGAATTCTTGTCCTTTCAGTAATCATTTGAAATAAAAATATCTCACAATAACTTATCCTTTCCCCTTTCAGTGGCTGTGGAGCACAAATGTCAGCATCTGGGAAGGAGCCTGTGTAATGGCTTAATCAAGAAGGCATGGGAGCACTGTCAAAAATTACCTTCTTAGTCACTAAAGCTTTGGCTCTCCAACCTCAGTCTGCTGAAAATCTTGAATGGCAATGGCACCACAGAGCCTCCCCCATGATCCTACCACTTTCCTTAGGTGGCACTGTACACTGGATGTAAAAAAGGCTTGCTGTATTTTTTTAAAAATATATCTTTATTGATTTTAGAGAGAGGAAGGGAGAGGGAGAGGAAAAGAGAAACACCTGTGATGAGAGAGTTGTCATCGATGGGCTGCCTCCTGCATGCCGCCTGCTGGGCATCGAGCCCACAACCCGGGCATGTGCCCTGACTGGGAATCGAACCTCGATCTCTGGATCCTAGGTCGATGCTCAACCGCTGAGCCACACCCGGCTGAGCCTTGCTGTATTTTAATTTTCCCAGGAAAACGGCTCAATTTCATGTAAAATTAAAGAGCCCTAGCCGGTTTGGCTCAGTGGTTAGAGTGCGGGCCCACTGAGTGAAGGGTCCCGAGTTCGATTTTGGCCAAGGGGACATACCTCAGTTGCAGCCTCGATCCCCGGCCCTGGCTGGGGTGTGTGCGGGAGGCAGCCAATCGATGTGTCTCTCTCACATTGATGTTTCTCTCTCTCTCCTCCTTCCACTCTCTCTAAAAAGGCAATGGAAAAATATCCTCAGGTGAGGATTAAAAAAAAAATTAAAGACAAGAATTAAAATCACACGTTTATTTTTTCTCCTTTTGACTTAATGCCTATTATTTTCTTTCCATGTGGACATCTACTATCAGAGAGTTTCTACAAGAAAGAATACATTATTTTAAAAACATATTACAAATAGAAAGTGTTATTGATGAGCATAGTTTGGACAACTGTTACTACATGGAAACAGCCGAATCCCTCAGTACTGATTCTGGGCAGGACAGAGTGGCTCTGCCATTTCCCAAACTGAACACTTCCAGGGAAGTCTGAGCCCTGATGACTACCCGTCCCCAGCCACACACAGCAGATCAGGTTTTACAATATTTGCTTGGGAAAGTACATATAAGGATTTCAGCTCTGTCTTCTCACTGAGCTCCACTCTGTACACACCTCGCTAAGATAGGAATCTTTGTACATGTCAGCTCTTGCACGCTGTGTAATTAGCGTCAAGTCAGGAATGACTCTCCAACACCATCTTTCCTCCCCAAGAGTTAACATTTAAAAATTTAATTCTGATAGTCTGTG